CAGCAATCTTACCTCTGTGGTGGACCAAGAAGCTATAAAAATGGCTCCTTGTTCACTTCTCCATCTTTCAGTGCACATGCTGTCTCTGGCAGCTCTCTATTCATCTGGTCTTCAGCCAGTTGAGCCAGGGAGATTCATGATCTTATGGCAGATGTTCTTACCTCATACTTGGTCAAAACAAGGCAATACTCATAGCTTACTCTCAAATCCTGCCCAAGGCAGTGTCAATGTTCAATTTGAGTCAGGAATCAATTTTAGTATTTTGCTCTAATGTAGCTTATGCTACGTATGCTTTTGTCAAACTCCCTCTGCATGCTGCTGTCTTTAAAAAACTGGATCTTCAGTCTTTGTACTGGTAAGAGAGATTAATGGCTTTTTTGTAACAAGCACCATCTGAAGTCTACAACTCCAACACTACACAGATAGTCACTTAAAGAGAAAGAAGCTATTCATTTTTTTGACATATGTATTCAAGCCTACAATATATTCCTTTCCCTTGGAGTTCCTGAAGGCTTTCTCAGGTTTTTCCACCTATCAAGGAATTGAGTGTAAGAGGAACGTGTTATGTTTGTTAGGTCCAAATAGCATGCATAGAATATATTGATTTATTGATATAATTTATTGATTTATTGATTTAATCCATAAAGGTCCTGGTGAAGTAAAAATTATTTGTCTTTCTGTGCTTGTGTTCCTGAATCTTACATGAGAACATGCATGCAGAAAAAAATACGAGGCAATAGTTAAGTAACATCTATAGGGTCTTATGGACTCCTTCAAAGGACTCTGACATGACATCTGGCACACCAAATCTTTGGGAAACTTTTCCTGTTTAAGCCTAAAATTATCAAGTGGACAGCTTTCAAAGTGGAGGCAAATAAAGTACTTCGTCATTTTTAGTAGAAAGAATGTTCCAGACATAATCTTAAAATCTTTCTTTCCATCCCAAAGATGGTAACTTCCTCCTGATTTGCACCAGAGACTGAGTTTAGAACTTCTTCACAGATGCTGCAAATATTATGAAAAAAAGGAATAAGTACTACTAAAGATTGTTCCTGAGTTGTTGCAGATTTCAGGAGGCCCTGATAGATCTACTAGGTCCCCTGTAGGAATTCCAGGAAAGCCTGGAGTTGCTGAGGTGCCAGGATCCATTGAAGCTCTTTTGCTGTGGGAACTATAATACAATTATATCTCACTATGTGTTTCAGATATGTATCCCATGCAAGGCTGAATTGAGTAAAACTTCCTTATATCCTGCTCTGCAGCAGAGATTAGCTGGTATTTTTGCACAATCCTCATGCTACACATGTACAGCTCTGGTAGCTAAACTGATTTTTTAATATTATTTTTTTTTTCCCAGTTCCATTTTGCTGTTTTCTTTGGACAGTTATCCAAAAAAGATCCAAACAGCAACAACAAAAACAGCTGGACTACTTGTATTGATGTAATGTCTTATCAGCCAGAAGATAAGACAGACAACTAGCATTGCAGTCATTAATTTCTCTTATTTGTATATCTGATTTTGGATGATAAACATTGCAGAAATGTAAACATGAAAAAATTCCTTATATATATGAATTACTGCTTTGTCCTAGAGGAGACATGGTTTCCCATAACTATTTTATTTTTCCTGGATAAATATCACCTAAGATGTAAAATAGACCAGAGCCCATTTGTCTTTGTAGTTGTCAGGTGTTGCTTCTCACTTGCACTTATTGCTATTCCACCTACCTGAAACTACAGGAAAGTGAACAAGCGGAATCAGCTTGGGCATTTGCAGCTTGCTCACCAGAGTCAGCCTGACCATCTATATCCCAGTCTTGAGGAAATGCATAAGTAATTTAAAAAAAGAAAACAAAAACCTCACACCTCTGCAAACATCTTTTTCCAATTTATTTGCTTTATATTCTGTAGCAAGAAATAGCAGAAAATAGGCCCAAAAAACCACCCCCTTTTAAAATTAAAAATATATTTAGAATCACATATATCTGATCTAGATTTGAAGAATAAGGACAATTAAGAGCTGTAGTTGCCAACATTCTTTAAAATCCTTACTGACGCTTTTCAATGAGATGAGATTGACAATTTTTATTTGTTAAGTTTTTAACTTGCTAAGAAGTACTAATTGATCTCTTTTCTGCATTCAGTTCACTTTTCAATTGGTTCTCACTTTTTTCTGCCCATTTCCTGTAACTTATATGCATAGGTATTGTGTGCATATGTATGTTTACTCTCTTGCATATAAATTATTTAAGCAAATGTCCTGGTTATCCCAGTATACCTCAGCTCTTCTTAAAGTGAATTAAAAAAAAATTTTAAAAAATGGAAAAGACACTGACAAAGCAATTGCGTCCAACTGTGTATGTTGAAGAAATTAAATAATTCCTCCTAGGGTAGACATTACAGTCAGGCAAGCATCTGACCAGCATGTCAAAATGCAGTTTTACTTTACAAATATGATAGAGCAAAGGCTCAACACTGGTGGGACAAAAAACCTAAATAAAAAATCAAAGACAAAACGCCAATAGAAAACAACTTCTAAAAGTTTTAATTTTCTTCTCTTCTTTTCTTAAAAAACCTTCCAGGGGGACTGGATAGCTCAAGGGGTTGGTAATAGGATACAGAGCCTTTCATCTCTAGGTCATCAGTTCGCATCCAGGCCAGGTCAGTAGTGACCAAAGATTGTTACCATTTGATGGGTTTTCAGTGACCTGTGTGAAAAAAGCTGGTGGTACCATTGTTGGAAGAGTTGGTAGAAACACTTCTTATTCAAGAAGATGTGGCTGATCTTTTGGCAGCCTCAGTAATGAGACTGCATTACCTGTTCACCTAAAGGTGTGAGACACACTGATAGCACTTTGTAGAAATCTCTCTTTCTACAACTGTTATCAATTCATAATTGTAACAATTACTGTAGCTGTTAGTATTCTTGTGCCTGTTCTGGATCTATGCTTTGGTCCAATGGATCTCAGGGTTGTCAAAAAGGTAACTGCTACAGGCACCCAATTCACACAAACCATTCTTCCTGTGAGTGCAGGTAACCCTATTTAAGATCAGGATTAAAACCCCATCTTACTTCCCTGACATCTTTATTTGCATGTTATTCACCAATATTAAATAGAGGAATTCAATCAGTATAACACATCCAGAACATTTTTATGAGTGAAGAAAAAAAAAAAAAAGAAGAAAAAAAATTATAAGAGAAGCACTAGCTGACCTAGAATTTGAAAGCAGCGAAAGCATAATCGTGTCATAGTTAAGGTCAGACTTGGAATAAATTCCAGAATAATTGCATTCCTAATTTTTATGTTGTTCTCATTTCATCAAGCTAAGTAGCAAGAGATTTCTTCTCCCCACAGGATAGTAAAAACCAATTGCCCTCACTCCTTTGAAAAGGGTATCTTTTGTCTAGAATGTTACTGGGACCTTTTTAGCCACTTCAAACATATTTTTTTAAATGCATACATCACCTAGAAGCTTCACTTTTTCTACAATAAAATCTCAAGAAGCAAACATGCTTCCTTAAAGGTTATCACAAAAAATAGAATCTGCCAAGAAAAGCTACAATTTAAAAAAATTCATAGTTTCATAAAAGATAGGGATAATACTCAGTTACAAAAAGGTCCCATTTCTACTGTCTGGGAATAGAAGAGGCCTTTAAAATGAGAAGAAAATGTGCCCTTAAAATAACATTTCTACCCAAGATCTCAAAACAGGTCCTAATTCCTGGCCATAACATTTGGGAGGAGGAGGGTGCTGAGTGACAAGTAAGACAACTGCAATACTCCGCTTCCAAAGACCTTGAAGGGCCTGTGAAATACAGGTAGTAGGACTAAGCAGCTCTGAGCTTGCTCAGAATTATGTTGGCAGTAGGGGAGATCCCTCTATGTTGCAGAAAGCAGGGAAATAAGATGCACTAAGACACTTTAATACAACTTAAGTATCCATGCCAATCCTTTCCTGTTTTGCTGCAGGAATTGTATTATGGAGAATTAGAGGTCTACTATGTATATTTTTTTACCTCTCTACAAGGTCCTAGAAGTTTTACTGAAAAAAAAAAAAAAAAAAGAAAAAGTAAAATTTAAAACAAAAGATTACTTTAAATGAGATCTGGCATTGGATACTCAAGGAGAAATGATTGCTCAGCTATTAGCCAAAAAATACCACAAAAGTTTCGACAGCTCTGACAGACACGTGCTTAATTACTGTATATATCAGAAAAATGCACTCTTTATCTACATAAGTAATTATTGACATCTTGCCTGCAAGGGGCTGAGAAGGCAACTGGCCAAAATACTTTAAAATGTAAAATCAAAACCCCTAGAGATGTTCTTGATATACATCCTTCTTAAGATAAATGAAGGTTATTACTGATTTAAACTCAATACATTAAACAATAAGACTGGAGCTTGAAATAAATTATGTGATTCAAGTAGACATGTATTGCAAAACTGTCTTGCTTTTCTATACAAAGAAATTAATCTTTGTTATAATCTTGCATGGAACAATAAGGCAATAAAGATGTATTTAATTCCCGCATAATCCTTTGAATGTAGAGCTTAGTTTCTAGATTCATGGCATTTGTGTTTTCAGCTTAAATTTCAAAGCCACGTTGATCAAATTTAGAGGTTGTCATTTTCCTTTAATCATTTTTAAGCTAAAATTTGTTGCATTTTCAGAATTTTATTATGTCTGTATATTTAACGTTTGCCTTTTTTATATGTAGAACATATCAGTGTCAGGCTTCATCTTATCACCAGGCCTTCTTTTTTGTTTTTCTTTTAATTATTTTAATTTTCACAATTATTTTCTTTTCATTACATATTCTAATGTTAAGTATTTAAAAGAACAGTGCAATACTACAGTTATGAAGTACTGCTTTACATTTATAGTACTAGTTTCTGAACAAGCATTGATTGAGCATTGGTTAAACAGTATACAAACCTTTATTGCTGTAAATATTCTTACACTCTTTTCTTTTTCCTCCTGTATTTGTGTACTAGGTGGTTGTGAATGCCCTTTTAGGAGCAATTCCATCCATCATGAACGTGCTTCTCGTTTGTCTTATATTCTGGCTAATTTTCAGCATCATGGGAGTAAATCTGTTTGCTGGGAAGTTCTACTACTGTGTTAACACCACAACTGATGAAAGGTTTGAAGTCGACCAAATCAACAATTTTAGTCAGTGCGAGGAACTCATAAAAAACAATCAAAGTGCACGATGGAAAAACGTGAAAGTAAACTTTGATAATGTAGGATTTGGTTATCTTTCTTTACTTCAAGTAGTAAGTGATCACTCTTTATATATTTCTTAATGTTTATATGAAATAGTGAAAAGCAATTCTAGCAACAAAGACAAAAAACATCTTTATCTGATGATCTTTATCTATGACTTAGTAATACCATGGCACTGATAACTGGTTACTCTTTGCACAATGAGCAGCAAGTAGAGCCTACTGAGATGAATGAAGATGTTTTAGGACATCAGACAGAACAAGTGCTGTTCTTCCTATTTGTATCTCCCTTAGTCCTCCAGCTCCTTTTAACTTTGTAAGTTTCTGGAAGTACCTAGGAATGATATTCAGCTATCTGAATATTCTAAAGTTTGCCTGTCACTGAAAAACAAAAATGTGTTTGTTTGATTAAGTCACAGAGAAAAATTCCAGGAAAGAAATCCCATCTCAGTGATGTGGCTGCCACCAGTGTGGACTTCTGTTGTCTAATAATTTCTCATTCAAAAGAGAAATGGGAAGAGAAAATTTTATTAGATACTATGATCTGTGAAATATTTTCCCTGCTATTTCTGTGCATAAGCACTTAGTGGAGTTTATTTATCAAAGACTGAGGGAAGAAAAGAAGGAAGACAACATAGGCAGAAAGATACTATGAGGTTGTGCCTTTACTATCAAAAAATATGTCCTCACAACACTAACTTATCTTTGTATTTTGAAGTAGCTACAAATCTGATACAGTTTTAATCAAGAAAACTCTGGACTCTAACCTATGCTATATGCATTCAGCAACCTCTATGTTTTTTTGAGATTACTGTCTAACTCTGCAGAATCTAAGTTTTCATTTCTATAGTTTTTCATTTTGGCATAAGAAATCTCAATAATACAAACCATTAGAATGATGCAGTGGCATTGACATGGTCCTGCATAGGGTCTAAAACAGTAGGTCTGAGCATTGTGAACTGCTTCTCCCAGCTAATGTAACATCTCACCTGTGTGACTGATAACTGACAATTTGAATTTCACTACAATTAATTATTTACTGTCATATCAGGAAAGAGTAGAGAGAGATGCCACCAGTACTAGAGAAAAATAAATACAATACTAGAAAAAATAAATACAATTTGATTTTGCTAACAAAATCAAATTGAACCAAAATACTTTATTTCTTTTCTCTGTCTTATATTTGAAACCCACTGGTCTAGAATGCCTCTTGGGGGGCAGAATGCTTTATTACGCATGTTCAGGAGAAACAAGACATCAACAAAACTCTTTTCCAAGTGCTTTACAATTCTTATTTCAGTACTAACCTAGTCTGTTCTGTGATAGGGGTAACACCAGGTACATTTTTCCTGGCTTTGTGGCCACGATCACGACCCCTCAGCTACTTGCTGTCATTCATATTTCAGAGTCCCAGCTATGCATAGCTTATTTCATCTTATCTTCATTGAAAAGCAACAAATATTTTTCACATGAAGATTTACATTCTTAAATTACTGGATTGTTCTGGGAGACAAACTAGGAGAAGTTTCCCAATTGTTCCCATGTTTCCAAAGGAAAAATTAATCTAAACCTACCACAGAGGGACCTAGCTCTCATGGGAGGACAAACCAGTTGTTTCTGCTATATCTACAATTCAGAGATTTTGCACCAATACCAAAGGCTTGCCTCATGGATAGATTTTGTCTATGTGAGTAGAATGTCAGTGACAACACTACTTATTTTTTCTGTATTACTGAAATACTGGTAAAAGCACAAAGATATTTTTTTTGTTTGACATACCAGGAAAAAAAAAGGGGGACTAGTGATTTTGCAGATATGGAATGATAAAAGCCCTAGGGCAGAGAAAGCAAAGTATCAGCTTGATTTCAGCTAATGCTTAAAATACGCAGAATCTGTGTGTTTTTCACCTTCAGGAACACAAGAAGAGCCACAATTCATAAATGTTTGAGATTCTTACATCACTTTCTCAGACACTGAATGTATTTATAACGTTTTCCTATTTGAGATATAAAATACTTTTTATGAGAATCTACAACAGGATTCTAAAGCTATCATGTTAAGAACAAACATGAGAAGTGAACAGGTATGTCATAACCCTAGATCTCCCTACTCTTCCTAATCAGCTTGTAATAGTAAAGATGAGTAAATACTAAGAATTAATTAAAGGTATCCATTACTGTGTCAGAAACAAAGATAAAGATACTGAAACTTGAGCATTTGGCCCAAAATAAGGTATTAAACCTGCAAAATTGGAATAAAAACTCAAGGTTGCAAGTGGATATGCTTTCTGTGTACCAAATATGAACATTAATGGCCTTTTTTTAACACAGAATGGTTTAGGATGGAAGGGAACTTAAAGATCACGCAGTTCCAGTCCTTCTCATATGGGCAGGGAGACCTTCCACTAGACCAGGTTCCTCAAAGCCTTGTCCAACCTGGCCTTGAACACTTGCAAGGAAGAGGGCATCCAGAGTTTCTCTGGGCAACCTGTGCCAGCGTCTCACCACAGTAAAGCATTTCTTCTTTAATATGTAATATACATCTACCCTCTATGAGTTTAAAACTGTTACCCCTCGTCCACTGTCTACTAACATCATTCCACTGACTCCACCTTAACAACCTACAGCACAGACTTTAGTTTGTAATGGATCTGAGACAATAACCCCATAGAGGTCAATGTCGTTTTTGTAATGACAAAGTCAGTGATAAGTATTAATGCACAAATTACTGATACAAGGTCCCTTCTTCAGGAAGCTAGAAACTAACTACAGAGAGCTGGCTCTTAAAATCCAGTGTTATTTTCATTCTCCATTCTACCCTATGACTCATGCCTTTTGAGCCAATCAAAGCAGAATATTGTAAATCCCTTCAGCTTTTCTGGATTATAGGTAACATACAACATAATACAACATAAATCTTTATTTTCTGCATCACTGAAATGTTTCATCTGGAGTAAATACTATTGGAATCAGTACCATTTTTATGGCAAAACCAATATAAATCCAAACGTAAACTAGCCAAAAGAAATCAAAACGCTGCCACTGAGGACATTAGTATTCTCAGAAAGACATCAGTGAGTACCATGAACATTTTTTGTTTTGAATCATAAAAGTCTTTTCTGGTAGTATACGAGTTCATCACAGAAAACAAATCCCTCTTTTTAAAGAATAATATAGAAAAGAAACCTAAGTATTTCACACAGATAAAATAAATGGGATAATTTCAGGAAGAAATATTCAACACTCAAAAAATAGATTTGAAATTTGTGTCAGTGTTTTTTTAAGCAAAGAAAGAACTCTCTAAAAAGCTTTTCTTCTGAGTTCCCTCAGAACTCAGGGAATTATTTTCTGGAATGAGTGATGTAAGAAAAGAACATAAACTAATTTTTTGTTTACATATTGTATTTTTTTTTCTTTTTTTGTGTGTGAAACCCTTAGTATTGCTAGCAATGTTATAATGCTTTCTGCCCCAAAATATAAGCTAACAATATGTGGCACTGATATAACCAAGTTTTACAGACTTTGTTGATCAGACACTGTTTTCAAAAATTCTTACATAATTGAAGTTGGAGTGTAAATATGCTCCCTATAAGATTTTTTTTCTTCTATGATCCAGCATAGCTCACATTGGTCCCTAAAGAAAAGCATAAAAGCAGAGACAGATCTCCTGGAGAAATTCCTTTCACAATATTTATGCATCAGTGAGTGAAGAAGTAGAGGTTGGTGTACAAAAGAGATGTGGCATCTCATCATCTTACGGCCTTACACTCTTGTAACTTGACCTTAGCATTTGTATTCTTTGGTAAATACATCTCACAGAGACCTGCTCTTATCCTGCTAGTCAACATATATCCTGCTTACCAGGATAAACCAGTGGGTCTCAAAGCACAATGCTATGTTATTCTGCTATTACTAATATAATAAATAAGATCACACATCTTGTAAAGTGTAGAGTAAAAAGATTAGAAGCTGAATTCTAGGCCTATAAGATTAGCATAGCTTCAAAGTTCCAGAAGGTTAATGTTTTTTGAAAGCAAGATGCTGTTTTATCTCCAAAAGAAATTGTGAATCTTCCTGCCAGTGATCTCCTCAGGGAAAAAAAAGGCAACACAACAAACCAAACAAACCTATGGAACAGATGCTGATTTCAGCTGCACAGCTGTAATTCTTGAAATCAATTAATTATTCCTGATTTCATGTCACTAAGAATAGACAATATCTTTTTTATACCTGAATATATAAAAATTTTAATAATGTGATCTCTTAGTCATATTTCTGTGTTATTTTCTATTCAGTATGCACAAATACCTAAATAATTCCTTACTTATTCTAAGGCAAATGTATTGCAGAAAAATATGTTAAGCCTAACATGAGTAGGCCTAAGCTTCTACTGAATGTAGCAGAAATAATACTCTTTCACTAAATGTGATGCCTCTAACTGAGCCTTCAGTTCCATTACTTGGTATTGTTCAGACAATGTATTTAAAAATAGTTCTCCTACTGAACTGACACTTCTGCTTTGGGATTTAAGGATCTGTTTTCTCACAGCTAAATTCTAAACTACAGTAAATAGTTTTTCGTAATGATTATTATATTCACCAATTCCTATCAACTTTCAGGAGGGATTTAGCATAAAACAAGTAATATGATGAGGGAGCATATTTTAATGTAGGTTTTGGGATTATTTTTTTCTTCATTTCTTCAATAATGACAAAAGCTTATAGTTTTGTGAAACTCATTGAAGAAAATACACTTTACTTCTAGTATTTTGAACACAGGATAATAATACTCTGTATTTTTCCACTTCTGCACTCTTTTTAAGTTGCCTTTTTAATAATAAGCATTCAGCAGCTCAGTTCTTTAGATGTTTATCCTAGTGCAGGCTGAAAGGTACCTTCTCCTAATAACAGAGTACTTTACTGATGGTAGTGAAGCTTAGTTTTTTAAAAATAGTCACTTAAAAAAATTATTCTCTCTAGTTGGTCTAGGCTACAATAATCAATTTACAAAAAGCACTAATTCCACTTTGCCTGGAGGATGATATGCAAGCATAATCATGTATCTGAACTGGACTCAACAGTACACACTGTAGAACAGCCACTCCATCATTTGCAACATCATTCTGATGTAAAAGGATGTTTCTTATTTGCATCTAGTATTTCGGGTTGAAGTGCTGGTTTCAATTTAAGTTATGATATTTCAAAAAATTCAAATAATGTACCAAGACAGAAGCAAAAGTCGTGCCTGTAAGATGTGAAGTAATCATCCTGCCCTATGTAAGACCTCAGATGAAACACTGGGCTCCAGTTTTGGTTACTGTTTCAAGAAATGAACTAGAGCTCTGGAAAATAAGATCTACATGGAAAGATTGAAGGAACAGGGATCACGGCCTAAAGAAGAAAAGCAGCAACAGTCAGTTTGCAAATAAGTAAAAGGTGCTGTACAAAGGATGATTAATACTCTGTTCTCCAAATATGTACTGATTATGACAAGTAACAGTCTTAAATGGCAACAGAAGGATTTAGGTATTAGGAAGCAATAAAGACAAGCGCTGAAATAAATATTTTTAGGAGATTGTGGAGTGTCCATCATTAAAAGTCTTTCAGATCAGGTTAAACATATATTAGGAATTACATAAATAAAACTTATTCTACCTATCCTAATCCCTTGCAGTCCAAATATTCCTTAAGTGCTTTGGATTCTTCAGCTGAGACTCCTACATGTTTCTGATTTATTGTTGATTTCTTGGTCCTCTGATACTACACTTTGATTTAATCACTGTACTGTAAGTTGCCTGAATTTCATATTTTCTGTGTTGCCCCCAAGGTGTGAAAGTTCTTACATACTGGATTTGCATCTCCAGATAACTGTGCTCTCTCTATGCAGCATTCCACTGTTTCAAAAGTGTAAGGAAGCTCTTTTCCTTTAAGAAAATAATTCCTTCTCATTTTAAGTTCACTTCAGGATGATGCCAGCTGCTTTGTATGCTGCATAAGCAAAGCCTTTTTGAAACCTCTACTAGAAATGAAACCGCAGGAAGGTGGAGATACAGCAATAATCATGACTTGGTTGTTCCATCCCTGACTTGTTTCTGTGACTGGCCTCAATGGCAAGGAGTAAGAAGGAACCAATGATCTGCAGCCTTGTTCAGCAAAATTAAAATAGTGATTAAATGACAGGAGAACTATCTCACTTTGCTTTATACTGAGCACAACTGAATTAAAAACTGAGTGATTTCTACTTGGAGATGTTGCTTAGTCAAAAGAGAACACTCAGATGAAGCAATCTACCATTCAGTGCCAAGTATTAAAATTTACAGATTTTGGGCATAGGAAACAGCTGTTAAAATTGACTATATTAATTCTTCAATGCACATAAAACACAACCTCCTACCAGTTTATCTCAGAACATACTTTAGGGATCTAGCCTCTGTAAAACACAATACGATTTATTTAAAGTGAAAACAAAACTACTAAATCAAGTAAAGTCTTTCAAAGTAGGGAAAAATGAGAGTTCTGATTGACAGGAGAATGCCTTTCCTGAACTGATAAAATTTTTTGTTCCCTTTGGTTGCCACCTTTCTGACTGATTTGAGAGGGACTAGACATTAGTCTTCATTGGTGGCAACTCAGTGATGTATGCCTATTTCTCAGCTGTACATAGTCTTTGCAGTAAGCATGACTGGATGAATATTTAGTCTACTAATATGATACTGCACTCTATAATTTGTGGTAATTAATTAGAAATACCTTAATTACATTTACTTCTTAAAATGTTCATACAGAGACAAAATAGGGGGATACACAGCAGTTTGTCTCCTGAGAAGAAAGCCAAGAGAAAATTATCTAGAAATCTCATGTTATGTTTATTATTCCTGGTGCTGTACTCAGTTGCTGCAAGTAACTGTACGTGTTGTCTTCAAGCTCTGTGCTTAAACAGGTGTGTACTGTTTGCAGGCTACATTTAAAGGCTGGATGGATATTATGTATGCAGCTGTTGACTCAAGAGATGTAAGTACTACAAATATTTTAAATTCTCTTTTTCTCTTGAGGTCTGTCTGTCAACAAGTGTGTATTTACATATCTTTCAAAAGCAACTAATATGCATACAACAGGATAAAACAAAACAAAAATAATAAAGATGAGATTCTGCTATAACAAACTGTGAAAACTGAATGTAAAGTGCTAGATGCTGTCAGTAACATGGAGTGGACAAAATGCATTTACATAAGTGACTGGAGTATTGCAGAAATGAAAAATATTAAGGATATTTTGCCCAAGGTTGCTGCTTGTTCGGTTGAAATTTTCACATGAGAACATAGGATCTATTTATTTATTTATTTATTTATTTATTTATTCCTCAGATATTACAGCAACCCAAGTATGAAGACAACCTGTACATGTATTTGTATTTTGTCATTTTTATTATTTTTGGGTCTTTTTTCACCCTGAATCTGTTCATTGGTGTCATTATTGATAACTTCAATCAGCAAAAAAAGAAGATAAGTATTGTTTCATTTCTCTTCTAAATATATTCTAAAATATTTCATTTTTGCAGGTGAATGATATATTGAAAGTACACCCAAGGTTTGTTCAAAATTGAAAAAGCTGAAATATATCAGGATATATAATCTTACCAATATGTAGTATGCATGTAGATGTGGTGCTTAGGAACAAGGTTTCATGGTGGACTTGGCAGCACTAGGTTAATGGCTGAACTTGATGATCTTAAAGGTCTTTTTCAACTGAAAATATTCTATGATTCTATGCATTAACATAATAAGATTTTACATTGTAGTGAATGGGATAGACCTTGTGTTTTCAGTGTCCAGTTTAGTCTTCCTCAGGTCATCTGCTTATTCATGCTTAAACTTCATTAAATCTGAAATCTCCTTACATCATCAAACCCCTAATTTAGGCCACTACATTAAATCACTTGACTTTTTTCTTGACTTTTTTCTTATTGATTTCTATTGATTCTATCAGCACACATACACAAAAAGCCACCTGGTTATAAAAAATCAAACATTATTTCATCACACTGCTACAGATGCTGTTTTAATGATCTCAAGTATTCAAGTTCTATTTTGTGGCAGGGAACAACTGGAAACTATAGAGAACAAGAGTGACTTGTAACTATTTCAGAGCCTGCTTTTCTTGTTTCATAGTCCAGATGTAGATAATCTCATTGGTACAGATGGTCTGATTATCAGATGATCATCTTTAAAATTATTTTCTGTAAATAGATAAGGTAATGAAAACTAAATGACAAAAGCAGCTATGAATTACTAGTTTAATTGTATGTTAATTTAAACATTACTTTCTTTGGGTTTATTTTACTAGTGACAGGCACTAAGTAAGATTTTTTGAAAGCTAGATTTTTTGAAGCCTAGAGGTACATGCTTAGGGAGCCTGTCTAGTGTATGATATATACATTGCCACATCTTCAAGCTTTCCAAACACTCATCCACAAAACAGCTGCATGCAGTCCTGTGCCTGGAACTAGATGTCTGCAAGTATCTTTTATCCAGGAACATTTCCTTCAAGAGGTATGTAAGGTCTAATGCATTTTCTTTCTTATTATAGGCAATGGATTTGGGTTAGGTGGCCATGAAAGACCCATAATGCATTCTTTATCTTCACTGTCAGACTCCAAAGGCCAGTTTTGGCTTTTGCTAATCAGAACTTCATGGAACATGGAAGCTAATTGGGATAAAAGACTTAAAAGAGAGCATTTTGCTGTTAACTATCAAGAGTGCTTCCATCTTCAGCTCAGTTTCTCCAGAGTCTGATAATCCATCTTAAAACTCTTGAAGCTGCTAGTGTTGTAACTGCTAAACTAGAGATACCTAAAGCACTAACACATTAATGTACTGACTTTGTCTGCTTCCTTGCTTACACTAAAATTGCAGTTGAGAAGTGACAGTACCAAGCAGCTCGGAGTATTTTACCTTATTTCAGATGTTGCTTACTGTGTCTCTTCCTAAGTAAGCAGAGGTACTGAAAAGAATTTCTGAGAGGTCTCAGAAAATAATTGTAGAAAAATGCTGCACTGCTGGGTTGGGTTTTTTTGTGAGATGCAGCATTGGATGTCCAGACAACTTCTGGACAAAATGCTTAGATTGCAGACAACTGCCTTTGATTTTCATGAAATAAAGAAATAAATCACACTGCATTTTTTAAGAGTTTATCCAACACTGCATGTAAATATGATTATAACCAGTTTTGATTTCATGTTTTTACTTTGGAGGTCAAGACATATTTATGACAGAGGAGCAGAAGAAATACTACAATGCAATGAAAAAGCTGGGATCCAAAAAACCACAAAAGCCTATACCAAGACCAGGGGTAAACTTGTTTATATACATCAAACCAACAGCTATTTACAAGCAGCTCAATTTTTATTGATAGAGATCAGAAATAGGCCCATCTGAGAATTATCATTAGCTACTGTATCAGTCAGTAAAAATAAAAAATGAAAACACAGTAAAGTTGTTTTTTTTTTCCCTTGCAACCATTTTATGTATGAATACACAAACAAAGGAGGCTGAACTAAGCTGTTGTATTCACTTGAATTTGACTGCTCTACTTAAGATCACTAGTTATGTGTTTATTGAAGTCTCATAGGCCTAACTGCATGGATTTTTTTACTTTCTTCTAAAAGGAACAGAAAACCAATTACAGTTTGTATTGGATGTTTCTTTTTTCTTGTCTTCTCAGAACAAATTCCAAGGCATGGTCTTTGATTTTGTGACACAGCAAGTCTTTGACATCAGCATCATGATTCTTATTTGTCTTAACATGGTTACCATGATGGTAGAAACTGATGACCAGAGTAAAGAAATGGAAAATATTTTATACTGGATAAACCTAGTGTTCATTGTCCTTTTCACTGGAGAATGTGTCCTGAAACTAATTTCACTTCGCCATTACTACTTCACTATTGGCTGGAACATTTTTGATTTTGTAGTTGTCATTCTCTCAATAGTAGGTAAGTCTTGTTTATTAAACTAAAAAAAAACAGTAAAATTAATACAAGGTGAACTTTTACTCAAATAGAGCTATACATGGCTGACTTTTGCCATTGCAAGGTTTATAACTGAATCGTGCAACTTATACTTTTACCTAATAATTTACCTAATCCAACATCAAAACTGTTACAATCATTCAACATCTGCAAATATGAAGTATAATTGGCATAACAGAAATAATGCAAGTGGAATCTACAGCACGTCTTTAATAGCTACACAGAAATACCATTTTTAAAACAACTATTCTAAATTTCCACTATGATATGGAGATCAAGTGGTAATGTATTTTGGTTTTATTTTTTTCTGTTTTAGGTATGTTCTTAGCAGAGATGATTGAGAAATATTTTGTATCCCCCACACTCTTCAGAGTCATCCGACTTGCCAGAATCGGTCGAATCCTGCGTCTCATTAAGGGCGCTAAGGGGATCCGCACTCTGCTTTTTGCTCTCATGATGTCTCTTCCTGCTTTGTTCAACATTGGTCTGCTGCTCTTCCTGGTCATGTTTATCTATGCGATATTTGGCATGTCCAACTTTGCCTATGTTAAGAGGGAAGCTGGCATAGATGACATGTTCAACTTTGAAACATTTGGCAACAGCATGATCTGCCTTTTTCAAATTACCACATCTGCTGGCTGGGATGGTTTGCTGGCCCCAATTCTTAACAGTGGGGAGCCAGACTGTGACCCTAACAAACCTCATCCAGGGAGTTCTGTGAAAGGTGACTGTGGGAACCCTTCTGTTGGGATTTTCTTCTTTGTCAGCTACATTATCATATCATTTCTGGTAGTGGTGAACATGTACATTGCTGTCATTTTGGAGAACTTTGGTGTTGCTACTGAAGAAAGTGCTGAACCTTTGAGTGAGGATGACTTTGAGATGTTCTATGAAGTCTGGGAGAAGTTTGATCCTGATGCAACACAATTCATGGAATTTGAGAAATTGTCTGATTTTGCAGCAGCACTTGATCCTCCTCTTCACCTACCCAAACCAAACAAAGTCCAGCTTATTGCAATGGACCTGCCCATGGTAAGCGGTGACAGAATTCACTGCTTGGACATCCTGTTTGCTTTCACAAAGCGTGTTTTGGGGGAAAGTGGGGAGATGGATGCCCTGAGAATACAGATGGAAGATCGGTTTATGGCATCCAATCCTTCAAAAGCTTCCTACGAACCAATTACAACCACATTAAAAAGAAAACAGGAGGAAGTATCTGCTGTCATTATTCAGCGAGCTTACAGACGTCACCTTTTAAAACGAACAGTAAAACAAGCTTCATTTATCTATAACAAAAACAAAACAGAAGGAGGGGCTGGTCGTGGTATGAAAGATGAAATCCTTATTGACAAATTAAATGAAAACTCATTTACAGAGAAAACTGATATAACTGCATCAACAGCAGTTTGTCCACCTTCTTATGATCGTGTAACAAGGGCAGTCAAAGAAAAGCATTAACAGGAAGATAAAGATGTTCAGAAATAAAAGCAATTAGCAATTAAAATAATCTATGTGCAAAATAGTTCTTAACCTGTAAGGATTGTGTTTGTGTCAACAGGACTCCTGCTGGAGGTTTATGCCAAACTGACAATTTTTACAAATATACTGTACATTAAAGGTCAGTGCCTATTAAAAGACAGTGACCCCTCGTCAGTGACTGTGACCGTGATCTGGGGAAACAACCTTGACAGGAGGTTACTGTTCTCACTACCAGCTGACACTGCGGAAGAGGAGAGAAAAAATGGCTACTCAGACTGTAGGGACCAGTTAAAGGGGTGCAAACCAATTATTTGTGTGTTTAGCATAAAACAATACAGTAACTCTATCCACTGTTTGCATTTCAACTGCCACATACGTCATATTTTTACAAAATCTGTGTTGGTGGATTCATCTTCTTTTTATTCATATGTTGTATATTATATGTGACTATTTTTGTAAATGGGGCTTCTGTTGGGGAAGGGGATTAAGTACACCTTTACAGGTACAAGGGCCAGGTCTTCTATTATACAACTAATATACACACACAGAAATTATTTGCATGAAGGCATGCTGCACTTACAGATCATGCATGAAAATTACATTAAGTCATGAAGAACAAGAGATTTTTTTAGCGCAGTGTTTCTGGGAAGGAATAACAGATTTTGAGGTGCTTAATTAATGTGTTCATGTTGTACCATGTCTAAAAAAGTATTGGTATGCCTGTAAAGTCCCCTGTAACTCCCAAGAACAGTAGAGACGGATTATTTTTTGCACAGATCATTAAGTTTCAGTGCAAACTTCTTTTTAAATCTGGAGTCACGGATTTTGTCTTTGTCAAATGTATTTCTGGATACAAATACGAAGGGAATCTGCCTCAGCCCTCCAAACTGATCAAAAAGAGCCCTTTACAAAGTTGTTCTGCTTTATCCTGCAGTATTGTTTAGCCATCTTCAGCTCTCAATAAGGTTGATGTTGTACATGTTAATGAAGAGTCCTCTGCTATGTAAATAAGTAATTTTTAACCTGTGGTGCATGTTTGAGCAAACAGATAATGACCTAAGCACATTTATTGCATCAAATATGTACCACAATAAGTATAGTGTGCAAGCATTCAACAGGTAAAATTATGTATTATCTACCATTATAGATAGTTTGGATGCTACCAATGCATGTTTATATTGCCTATGCTGCTGTTCCTTTGACTGTTCAGGATTCTTAAATATGGGAAGCCATACATCAGAGCTAAATGAAATAAACTACTCAACAAGACCTCATTCCTCCATACCATTAAGCAATATTTTGCAGCTATTTAGGAGCTTATTTGGTTTACATTTTTTAATTTTCACTGAAAAGCATATAGTGTATATCCAAACTGTACAGACATGTTCAGAACTACTAAACCTGTTGAAAATAATGTTAGAATTTTATAAGCAAATATAAATACTGTAAAAATCATTTCATTTTTCAGCATTATGTACATAAAACGAGAACTGGATTTTATCTTCAGGTTGATATCACACCATTTTCATTACTTTCTGTCCACAGCACTTTTTCACAGAAGAACTCCAGAGAACATGATACAAGTAAGAGAAAGGATAGCTGTAGGTTCTTACTTTTTACATTTACAAACATGTCAATACTTTCAGTGAAATAAATTCATAATTTGCTTTTAAAGATCTAAGGGTTTTTTTGGAGTTGGGAAATGCCGTAAAGTTCAAACTGAATGTCTAAGCAGTGCCTGCATTGTATGTTTTCAGATACAATCCTTCTTTCACAGAATCCTTAATATTTTCTCATATTTGATCACAGGATCTTTTTTTTTTTTTTTAATTTGTGTGCATTAGAACAGTTCTAAATGTTATATTGGGTCCACAATATTTTTTCACTAAGAGAAAGTAGCAAAATTGTATATTCCAGCACATCAGGACATTTTATGTTTCTTACACAGGCAAATTAAATATAGATTACTTTTATTAAAAGTATTGACTAATACTGTATTAGTGAACTGCATGCAGGAAAATGCTACTATTACCCTAACTGATGCTAAACAACATTATTAATGCGCCAAAATAATAAAGATTACATTTTTTATTGTATTTTCCTTTTGTCTTTATTTTCAGCATTTTTGTGAGTTTACAAAGAGAAAGTGAGGACTGACAATAGTACTAGAAACATGACATTCTCCAACATGGATTATGAGAACCAGTTTATTCTTGCTAATTACAATTCACAACTAGGCTACAGAACATCTAGAATTCAAGCACATTTTTGAAAAAGGTGAGTCAATGTCAGAGTGAAAAACTGTTGGTCTTTTCCTTGGGAATTTAAGACTCTCTCTGGAAGCACCCCTGTAAGTTATTTGTAGATACCAATATGGAAAAATGCAAATGCAGCTGGAATGTGAGCCTGTTCCTTATCAATTGCTTCACTGAATTTTTGAAGATGTTCACTTTATATGCTCACATAATTTTATATTGCATTCCCCTACAACTTACAATGGAAACAGTCAGAGGTGAATACTGAACTTAGTATTAAACCAGTTTATGGGCAACTGTATTCTACATGTCTGCTCAGTTACTAACGCAGAAATAATATTTCATAGAATCTTCCCTGAAACTCATCACAAGTCTTTTCAAGACAGGAAAATGTTTCTCCTTCAAATTGTTCCTAAGTGCATTATGAAACAAAAGTCTAAAACTTTGATAGAAAAGTGTAGGTATCAAGATGAAAATATAAGTGTTTTCAAATTAACATGTAGAAAAAATACGTTTTAAAAGGTTACCTCAAAAAGCATTTTAAAATTATCCACAGCCTGACAGGAAAAACAGACTGCTTCCAAAATATGGCAGTAAACTGAGTAATAGTTTCTGCTATTCTAGACAGAGAATATTCAACTTCACTTTGCACTTTTAATATAAATGAGAACTATGCTGCTGTCACTGCAGATCACAGGTCACAGCCACACAAAAATACTTGTTTCTCATACCTTTCTTAGGTTTTCAGTGTTACAGAAGCCAAATGTTACTTCAGAACGAGTAGAGTATCAGATAACAAGGATCATCTTGGCCAACAAGGAAAACCATATGTACTTGCATATTACTTCTTTTTCACCTTCCTTACGCTGGGAATGAGAAGTGTGTAATGGAGTTGTGCCACGCGCGATGACCTTGTTAGGAAAGGCTCCCCTGAGCGCTCTCTGCTGGAAGAATCGGCTCCAGCTACCAATCCAGTGCAAGAAGGGTTAGTCCCTTGTGCTAAACGGAATTATTGATGATTTTAATGCTGGACGAACAACACAAAATGTTGCACAGGCACACTCCTTAGCAAGAGCTTTTTCTGATGTCTGGAAACAATGACTGAGGATGCTTCCACCTCCAGGGTAAACCCTTAATTTTACTAGTCCTTGCAACTCCGTAATTCCCTGGGAGGAAAGGACGGAGGTGGAGACAACTTCCTCAGGATTTTTCCCCATTACTGAGCTATATGATGATATGTATGCGATGCAGTGCGGGCTCCTCAGCCGCACGCCCCGCCGGAGAGAAGCAAAACCGGGACGTTCTGCCACATTCCCAGCCCCAGGCTGCCGACGGAACGTCCCGAGTGCTGC